TGCCTGAACCACTGCAGGTTAACTAACCAACCTCTCCCCAGTAAAGCAAACAATAAGGTAAAAGTCCTAACATGGGAAAATTTTACTTACAAGTGCCACAAATGACACATCTAATAGATGCATGCAACAAGAGCGAGAATGCTGTCCTGGATGTCTTTTAATGCAGAAGGTGGGATCTGTTTTACTTTTTTCAGAGAGGTGCAGTATGTCTTTGTTACTACATGCTTATCCAAAACATATGTAAAGAAATACCAGTCCTTTCAGAGCAGCAGAGCATTTATATCAGGGATGTCAAGGCCTGGGGCCACAGTCAGCCCAGAAAAGACTCAAATTTGGCCCACTGAATAGCTTTGCAAAATTTCAAATGTATTTTAAGGTTGTCTTGGTGATAAAGACCGACCCCACGGCCATTCAGATAACACCAAAGTAATTTAGCAATAGATAAACAGTTACATAACACAAAAACACTATTGTATATGATACTTTTTTTAACAATTGGTCCTCAAAAAAATGAATTAAATTTTTATATGATGAATTTTATAATTACAAGACAGTCTGGGCAATAAACTATCAGACTATCAACTTTTTACAATTGAAACCCAAAGAGTCATGCTGACGTTTCTTTCATTTCCTTTGGCCGCATTTCTTTGTCATGTGGAAAATCAGAGACACACTGCTGAAATGTATTTTTCTGATATTACGATATCTCGCAGTTTAAATGTGTAGCTCAACTTCTTTACTCTGACAGAAAATGGGGTTTTCACTGATCGGGCCCACTTAAGATCAAAGCCAGCTGTATACGGCCCACAATATCAACCAAGTATGACATCCCTGATGTACATCAAAGAGAGTTAAATTTCTTGTCAATCTGTGTTGTTCTTGGGATTGTTTTATTGGGTAATGTAAACATTTCAAGCCTTCAGTTTGTATGTGAAACCTCAAAATCAAACTGATGTTGAGTGCCACAACAAGACATTAACAAGACCTCCTGGTTTTTCTTAATGAAACGATCCTTCTTTATGAGCACAGAGCTCACAACAGGCGACTGCTGTTGTGATTTGGCGCTATATAAATAAAATTGAATTGAATTGAATTATCAACACAATTTAAAAACTGGTATATATCAAATCTGAACAGATCAGATCAAGACAATAAAATATTATATTTCTTAGACACTGTTATAAATTAGATTTTAAAAGGGTGCTTCTGCATATGTGTAAGAAATTCCTGTCATTTAGACTGAATTTTCATTGTCTCACACTCAGTCAGAAAGTCAGTAATTCACATGTGCCACAGGTAAGAAGTGCTGATATTACTGCCTCTCATCAAGTCTTAAAAATCTGATATTAGCATTCATCTCAGCTTTACAATAACACTGTTATTATTAAAATATTAAAACAAATGGGGTAATTAGTACAACAGAGATACGTGTAGGCAAAATAATGATCAGGTCCTGATCCTCTCCCTCCCTCTGCCTGACAACAAGCACAAGAATAGTACTGTTCTAATACGTAGAACCAATACAAATAAAACACTATACAATTAAGTATGATAGGTATAATTTTAACACAAAGTATAATATGCAAAAAAACAACAACTTCAAAACCACCAAAGCACAACTGTTAGAATGTAAATGTAGCAATAAAATAATAAAAATAAATAAATAAATGCTTAAATTGAAAAATATGTTATATGTTCTCTCTTCTGCAGGAAATAATGAGGATCCTGTTTGCCTGTTTGATGCTTGTGCTGCTCATTGCC